AATTTAAAGCTAAAAAAATTACATTTAGAACAAATATTTTCGAAACATCGCTCTTTTATAAAATTAAGCGATCATCTTTTTATAAAATTAAGCGATGTTTTTTATATAAAGTAACAACTTACGATTGTTTAAAAGGAAAATATTTTTTATTTAACTAAGTTTGCAAGTTTTAGTTTTACTTAAGCTTATTTTATTATATAAATAAAAAAGTTAATTTTTTTAATAATTATTTTATGTTTCGCGTATTTTAAAAAGTTTAACATATTTGAAGCGATTCTTCTTAGTAAGATAAACAAATGAAATAATTAAATCATTGAATTACTATAAGAATTAAATTATCAAGATAGAAATCAACTAAAAAGGTTAAAAACACTTAATGACCATGAAGCGAAACTGCTTCACAATGTCGCTGATGATGTTTAGTGAGTGGGCTTATTAATTTCAATTAGTATTTAAAGCAGAAAAAAGTATAACGAGTTTAAATAATGGCAACTTAAGCGAAAATAATTAGAGTTAGTAAGCCAATATCTAGAAACTTTTCTTTATATCTAATTATTTGCTATATACGTGTTCTGTCGTGACCTCAGGCGCGATACCTGTTCATCCGCGAGTTATTTTTTATGCGTTGTTTGTGTTTAGTAACCAGAAACTTCTTATCAGTGATATTTTTGTTCGGAAAATAATTTTAGTTTTAGTTTTTATTCAGTTTAGAGGCAAAGTTTTTAGTTCTAGTTCTTATTCAGTTCAGTAAATAAATTTAGTTCTAGTTTTTATTCAGTTCATCTTAAAATAATTTTAGTTTTAGTTTTTATTTAGTTCAATTTTCGTTTGTCGTATAAATTTTTTATCTCATCTAATTATAATTTAGTATAATTTATAAATAATATAGGCATATATAATTAAAAGAAGTAAGTCTTAGTTCTATAAACAAACAAAAAAATGAGAACTTAATTAAATGTAATACACCCAGTCCCATGGCTAGAAGTTTAGAGCCAATTAAGTATTGAAGGTATAACACTGGATAGTGAAAGTGCATCCGTCTGAAGAATATCAGTTTCATTGCCAAAAGGTTCTAAAAGATTGACAAAATCCTGAAGCATTATCCATTCGCTATTGGCAAGTGAATCAATGTTAAGGTCTCCAAGCACTTTGTTGATAGATGTCTTTATTTCCAGAAATCTCCGAACCATAAAGTAAGTGCTGTTCCATCTTGTAGAACAGTCGCTGATCACAGTCTTACCACATTTGTTGATAATTTTTTCCAATGCAACAGAAGATTTGCGAACTTTTCCCACTAATCCACGTACCTTCAAAAGTAAGCCATGATATTTTACCATCATATGCAAGTTTTACAACTAGCTGTATAACATGTGCAATGCATCCCAATCTTCTAAATACTACGTTTTCTATTACATCAACTATCAAGTCAACATGTTCCCACTCTTCACTATTTGTCATATTCTCATCGTCTTCCAGATCTGTTATCTGCTCTTCATTAACCTCACTTTCTAATTCAATAAGTATATCACGTTCAGCTTGAGCTTTCATTCTCGACAACTTTATGCCTTTGACCATGTTTGCTCCATTGTCCGAAATAACAAGCAATGTTTTTTCTCTGGAAATATTCCAATATTTTAGGCATTTTTCAAAACAATTAGCAATTTGTTCACCTGTATGTGGATGTTTCACAAGATACAAATTAAGCAGAGCATGTATTGGTTTTTCGGATTTGAAGTGAAAAAAACAAACCGAAATTCCTAAAAAGGACGCAGTAAGACCTTTTTTAGTCCAGCCATCAAGGCATATTGGGAAGCGCCTGCCTTCAGATATGAAGTCACGAAGTTTTCTCGTTAAAACAGTAAATTCTTCATTAAGTAGGCTAGTAATTTTGGCAGAAACAGGCAATGAAAATTTATAATCCAAGGTATTTACTAACTTTCTAAAACTCGCATTATCCACCAATGTCACTGGATTACATGTTGCAATTAATTAGGCCATGCGGTATTCCTACAATTAATGCATTGAATCAAGGTCTGATTCTGATTTGAGGACGATTCTAAAAGAGTGGGTCCATTTTCATCCACTGCTTTTCTCTTTATCCCTGTTTGCTTTTTTTCACTTAATTTCTTTAATTCCGACTCTTCCAGCTCAACGTGTATAGACTTATGGTTTCTTGCTAAATGTAGCTAGAAAAAAATAAACATATTTATATAATTTTTTGTTTGCATATTTATATGTTTATTTACCTATCTGTTTATCAATTAATGTATAAATAAGTTCGTATACGTTATTGAATAATTACTCTAAAATGATAAAAATGAGTCGTTTGTTTCAAAATGAAAACATATCCTCTAACAGATAAACTAACTTTAAGATTTAATGGGTTCTTTCCACACAACTTTGTATTGCATACTTTTTCACCATCAAGTAAAACTAAACATACTAATTTGTCGGATGACGCATCGTATTTAAACCATTTTCATACCTCTTCCTACCAGCCATACCATACCTCTTCCTACCAACCATACCATACCTCTTCCTACCAGCAAAAAGTTTACTCAAACTCATCGCGTAGTTGTGTTGGTCTTACAGTTTGATTTTTTTTTAGTTCGAAAAAATATATTCGAATAAATATATTCGAACTATATCATAACTAAACTTATTCGAACTTAATTGAATAAAATTCAATTAAGTTCGAATAATATATCATTATAATGTATTGTAATATACTAATTATATATATCAAATAATTCAACTCGTTTCAAATCTAGAACGAAAATATTTCGTTTTAAAATAATTTCCGATTCAGTTTTTATTCCGTTCGAAAATTTAAAATTATCGTTTTTATTCTGTTCTCGTTCTTAAAATAAATTTCGTTTTAGTTTTCGTTTTCGTAAACGAAAGGCTTTTTTTTTCGTTCTCTTTTTCGTTCTCGTGTACGAAAATATCACTGCTTCTTATATGTTTGTTACATAATTAGTTTTCAGGCCTCGGCGGGAAGCGAGAGCTTTAGCTATCGCTTTAGGGGAGTGTGGGCAAGAGCTTTAGCTCTCGCTCTCGCCCACAGTTCGCTCTCGCCTAAAAACACGTTCTCGCTCTCGCCTAAAACAGTTTACAAGAGCAATTTAAGGCTCTCGCAAAAGTATAATTTTTCTCATGAAGGTATAATTAAAATTACAAAAGAGTGCTATTTTAAATGAGGAGCAGCTCGCACAGCTCCCCAAATTCGTTTTAGGAGAGCTTTTCTCAGCTCTCGTGCTCATTTGTTCCCGCCGAGGCCTGAGTTTTATTAACTTTAACGATAATATCTTCATTGAAAACGCAATTATTTTTGTAAGTCTTTGTTTAAATCATAAAAATTGCTTTAAAAGATACATCACGATAAAAAACAAATACACAAAATTACATTTACATAAAGAGAACAATCTCTTTTAAAATAAGAAATAAGAATATACTAAAAAAATCTATGTTTATAATAAACTTTTAAAATTTTAACAATTTAATTAATATATATTTAAAACATTTATTTTCGTAAACAAATAATATATATTCTTAAAACAATGCTAAAAATCTCAAAACGTAACAAATCGTGAATAATACAATTTTTAAAACATTTTAACAGAATACTCTAGAAATTTATTTCAGTTAATCAGCGTATTTTTTGAACCAATAGAATTGGTTTGTTTGTTAATTTGGCGGGTTTTTAGTGTTCGCAAATATTCTTTTTATTCTTTCGCACAAAGATGTTTTAAGAACATTTAAGTTTTTTATGTTTCCATGTATGTCCGTAAAACAAAAATTTTTCGTTTCGTAAAAGTCTAAAAAACCTTGCCAGTTTTACGCAACTAAATATAATTTCCGTGGTCAGTATTCGAGAGCAATCACTCTTGCTTCCCGACCAAGCCAGTATCTGTACGTGTGAAGTTATGTAAAGTAAAAACAAGTTTTTTTAAATATATAGTTTTTGTTCAAAAGCATTTTTACTTGTATACGCTTTTTTTTAATTATCTGATTATAATTTTGCTTTTTTTTAGATCTAGATTGTGTTTATGGTCTTTTGGTTTAGATTTTATAATGTATATATATATATATATATATATATATATATATATATATATATATATATATATATATATATATATATATATATATATATATATATATATATATATATATATATATTTATATTCTTTGAAAGTCATTTTCTTGTTGTACGTTAAAATATGGGTAGAATTCAATAAATACGGCTGCGTATAAACTTTTTTATAAATATTTATATATTTTTTTCTTTAATATATAATTATTTTAATATTCCGCTGATATATATATATATATATATATATATATATATATATATATATATATATATATATATATATATATATATATATATATATATATATATATATATATATATATATATAATATATAATATATATATACAGTCCGCGAAATTCGAAGGATTTTAGGTCGGCACGAGCGTGCCGTACTAAGCCGAGGTCAGGTCGGCAAAACGCTTTGCTATGCTTAAATAAATTTGAAAAAAAATTAAAAAATGAATCGAATAAAAATAAAAGGATGCATTATTTTTTTAAGAAAAACTTTCCAAATGTGAATTTTTCAAAATTTCTTTAAAAGTAGTTACAATAACTAAATAATAACCTTATATTGAACAAATATTATTTATTTTTTAAATGTTTTTATTTATGTATGCCGACACTTTAAGAGATTCAGGTCGGCAGTTGCATGCTATCGTAAAGCAAAGAGAGGTCGGCTTTTGCGCCGGCATTGCGGAATGTCGACCTGAATTTCGCGGGACTGTATATATATTTAAATATATATATATATGCATATATATATATATATATATATATATATATATATATATATATATATATATTATATATATATATATATATATATATATATATATATATATATATATATATATATATATAAATGCATATATATATATAATTATTATTTTAACAGATTTAATTTATTAAAACAAACATAATTGACTAATGTCGAGCAAAGGTTCATATGCAGTAGTATCTTTTTGTAAAGAAAATGGAGAGTTATCTGTGATACCTCAGGCGTGGCTGTTAGCAGATGGAGATGGCAAGTTTAATCGTTGCTACTGGCCTCCTTTTGCCACACAAGAGTCCATTGATAAGGAAATACATAGTTCAACAGCTTGTTCTATTTTATGGGCACAGCATCCAATTCGGCTTATGGCAGTGGCAGGTATGTACATAAACAGCTTTAAAGTCAATATTTTCTTAAATATTTTCTTAAATATTTTCTTTAAGATTTTCTTCAAGATTTTCTTCAAGATTTTCTTCAAGATTTTCTTCAAGATTTTCTTCAAGATTTTCTTCAAGATTTTCTTCAAGATTTTCTTCAAGATTTTCTTCAAGATTTTCTTCAAGATTTCTCTCCCCACACTTTTAAAGTCTATTATTTCAAAATATTTAATCTTGATAGTAGGATAATTTTACGTGAAAACATGGTTTTCGACTTTGCGTTTATTCTGTATGCATTAAAAAGCTGAGAATATGTACCTATACATATTTTGGGATTAGGAATCCGATGAAACAGCTTAAAAAATCTAAAATTATAGCATTAATCATAATTTTACTGGGCAAGTTAAAATAAAAAATGTTGATGTAGCTCAATAATTTTTTTTTTTTTTCAAAGTTGCCTCAAATAGTTTAGTTAAAATAAATCAGAAACAAAAACAAAGGTAAATCAGGACTCATTTTAGTGTTTATACTTTAGCGGCCCCCAGGCCATTTCCAAGACCTAACCAAGGGGGTTAACAACCAATAATTTTTCTGTCAGAAGTAATTAACAGTGGTTGGTTGCCATTATTGTATAGGTCTCAGGAATGGCCCAGGGGCGCCAATCCCTGATCACTAAATTTAGCTACTTAATTTATTTTTTTGTGTCGCAACTCCTAATATTATATTTACAATTTTTTCTTATTTCAATAATGTCATATTTTAAGATTTTTTATTGTTTTACTGTTTTTTTTTTGCTTTTTTTCAGATTCTTACCCAAAAGCTGTTGAGAAATTAAAAGATGCTCAGTATACATCTGATTTACAAACAGAAGTTGATGAAGTCTATCAACGACCAAAGCGTAAACGGTACTTTATATTATTTACACAAACAAAGAACATTGTTCTCAGTAAAACCCCTAATGTAATAGTTGGTAAAAGTTGGCTTGTAATTATTAGTTTTTTCACATTGGCTTTACAATTAAAACTTCAATTTGTTTATTGTTTCATTAGTATGGGTTAGTAATAAAAGTATAAAATTTATATAACTTTGCTTCAAAGTATGCTGGAACAGGGACTGAGCATTTCACTACAAACTTTGAATTTGTTTTTAAAAACTTTGCAAAACAAACTTTTAAAATAATGGCGGAATTGAAATCGACCTTGTTAGAAGTCCAAAGTCAGGTTAATTTAAATACGCAACATCTGCAAGCATTGACTGATGGAGGTTTTGAAACTGCAGATAGGGTTTTTGAACAACTTGAATTGCCAATTGGTAATATATGTGATTTTCTTGATCTAAATCTGAAGCTTTCAGACAAAGTTTTGTTCAAGAGACTGGTGAGGAAACCGTAATTTTTTTAATTTTTTTAAGTTTTTTTCTGTTATGTTCTATATGTATTTTAAATATGCAATTTATGGTTTAACTAGGTGGTTGCTGTTTCTTCCAAAGGCGGATCTACATTAAGAGAAGCCGTGAAATTTATGTTAAGGAGCATGTTAAATAATACAGTTTTAAGAAATTTAAACTGGACAGGGCAACCGCCAAAAACCAAATTCGGAAATACAAAATGCCATCGAGTTATTTTAAGTATGTGTTTATAATATTTTAAGAGTCTAAATACGACTTATATTATAAATTGAAGGATGTAGATATTAATTATTTGATTGATTGATTAGTAATATAATTTTTTAATATAAAATTAAATTAGTTTTATGAATAAATGTTTTCCATAAGCCATTACACATTATTTTCTCTTCTGCAAAAAAATATTTGAACCTGTTTTTAACAAAAATGTTTCAATAGGTGAAAACTTATCTATTAGGATTGTATTATTTTTTAAACAATTTATAAAAAAATTGTTAGCTGAAGTATCTAAGGAAAATTTTAGAAATCAAAAGCTTCTAACCCTTTTTTGCTTCTAAAGTATGAGATAAATTAGGAATTATTTACGTTTTCTAAGCACTAACGGAAAATCATCATGTGTATAGGTAATAGGAATACGTGTAAGTTATGGAAACTTACAGTCAATGCAACACTGTAAGTTTCTAACCTGTAAGTTTGCAACATGGTAAGTTTGCAACATGGAGTTGCGAAATTGTGGGGATTTTTCAACTCGACTTAGTGTTACTTTAATTTTCTATGTAGCTATAATATAATACAACTATTTTAATTAACTATATTATTTAGTATTTTCCTTAAAATATTATGCTTATTA